ATAATCACACTCACTTTAAACACAGCTATTTAACTTAGATTAAGCTTTGATTTCTCTGCATAACCAAGCTGCAAATTTTGCTTCCATATGCTCGAATCACCAAATCCAACCATTTTGTTTGCCTCAGTGTAAGGGAAAACCAAATTTTAACTGTAAAATCTTTACCCAAGGAACCAGGGGAAGGCACAGGATGTAACTCAGCTGTGAGGTCGTGGGACCATACCCTCCTCGCAGCCTGAAATACGCCACTGGAGTTTCACCAGACAGGAAGGGGGCTCTTACCAGGCTCGGGGACCTGCCACCAGGGATAACCCAGCAGGAGCTCGCCCCATCCACGCACCTTCTCGTGCCACTGCAGCAGCACAGCACTGCTGTTGTCGGAGGGGCTCTCAAAGCCCTTGTAGATGTACTTCATGAGCAGGTCCACGCTGTTCTTGTCCAGTGACTGCACCGCCTTCTCGATATCGTTGGCTTTGAAGGAGATGAGGACCTTCAGCACAATGCTCTCAGCACGATCCTGTCAACAGGCAGGCACAGACACATCCATTCTCGTGTCAGATGCATCCAAATACTGCTCCTCTCTCAAAAAAGTGAATGAGAATGTTTTCCTCTTTAACAGTTCTGAATAGGACAGTGTGTGATGCTAACATGTAACAGACAAGGATAAACAGTGTAAAGAGTTTGCCCTGCTCTAGTTTTTCAGTCTCTCTGCTCATGTTTGCAATTCTTGGCTATAGTAATAAATAATGCAGCTATTTTAGACAATTATAACTAAATATTTTAATTAAATAATACTAAATGTTCATATCGAAGCTCAAGGTCTAGCAAGTTCCAAAGAATTATGACAATTAAGTGCTTGTCTGACCTGTCTTTCCACCAGAGCCTTTTCCATGCCTCTGTACTCTTTAATGTGACACAACTATTATATTCCATGGAAATGCCATGGCCAGCCTGGAAGAGGTGACTGCTGGAAACCACGTGTTTCCCAAACAGTCAGCTGCTGTCCCAGGCACACTGGCTGCAGACTGGCAGCATTAATATTGTGCATTAATAAGCATTTGCAAGTTGATCTGCATGTCATTTTGTGGAGGCCCAGGAATGTGTGTGGCATGCTCATGGTGGCACTTAGCCACGTAATCAGCAAAGAACAGCTCTTCTTCTCTTCCTGTTCATCCATCACTAACTGAAGATGAAAAAAAGGGTTTATTGGACTTTACACAAACACTTCAAGCAGCTTCCCCCTACATAAACTGTGGATGTCAGTGTTCTTGCCCAATTTAATATCCCATAACCACTTGGCTTAGCAAGACTTCTCACAGGAAGAACTGCAAGTAAAAATACAGAAGTTCTAAAGATCAACTAAAAATGAAAGCAGACATTAATATTCATTCACTCTGCCCTCTTCAATTCCACTACCAAGTGTGTTCTTAAATCCATCAATACAGGGCTAATGGAAACAAGTCATTAATGTCAGGGCCATCTGTAACAGCTGGTTCTCAGAGCCCTGTGAAATCCCTCAGGAATAGGTTGGGGCTAAAGGGAAAAAACTCTGCATGGAGGTGTGCCTGTGGACAGGGAGAACTGACTCTGCAGGCACTCACTACCTGGGCAGTGCCACATCTTATCAGCCCATTCCTCCCACCACTGCAATCATGAGCCATTCAGGGTTATTCTGGGGACACTCAGAACTGCACACACCCACTCTCTGTCACAGGGGGAGGGCCGGCCTTTTCTGAGGTTTTAACAGCTTCACTGTGATTGGATGTGACAAGCACCAATTCTTCCTTTTTTGTAGGCTCACTGCTAATGGTTTCATTTGTCAGAGGTGACAACTGCAACTCTGGTTCCCGGATCACTCAGCACCAACTACATCCGTGTGCTGCCGTGTCCGGGTCACACACAGGCACCTGGTGGCACCTGGGCACACAAAACACAACCAACACAGGTAGGAGAACACACCACACCTCATCCAGCACCAAGTTAAAGTTACCGTGACAGATGACACTTGAGCTACAGTACTTCCAACAAGATTAAAACACTAGTGGTCATGGATGTTTCAATATCAGGGAATACCCTAAAACCTGCTTCCTCAAAGTACACCTGGCGGGACAGGGGCAACAGAGACAGGAAAGGATTTTTAGGGAGTAACCCATGACTGAGTTAGTTACTATTTCACCTTCACTGCCTGGTTCTTTGTGTTGATGGGAGGGTTCTTCAGAGCCGCCTGCAGGGCAGCCATCATGTTCCCTGTGCCAGATGGTTAAGGACCAGACACCAAATGCATGGAAATCAAGTACCAAGTACTAGGACAGCTATACTTGTAGCTGGCCTCTGCATGACTGAAAACGCTCCAAGCTCAGTGGATGCAATGATTCCCTCACCAGCTAGCACAGATTACAGCCTAAGGCAGCAATTTTTAGGCCACTTAAGACAGGAGGAGCACCAACAAGCAGCTGTACAGCTCCAGGACTGGAGAATAGCTCCTAGGCCCTTCGGTGAATGAGGATACAAGTAAAGGAAATCATTCTCCATCGCTTCTGCAATTTGCAGCCCCGGAGAACAGGCCTCAGCCGGGCACACCCACCTGCAGCAGCCGCTGGGACGGAACCGAGCCCAGCTGGGACAGAACCAAGCCCAGCCGGGACAGAACCGAGCCCAGCCGGGACAGAACCGAGCCCAGCCGGGACAGAACCGAGCCCAGCCGGGACAGAACCGAGACCAGCCGGGACAGAACCGAGACCAGCCGGGCATGGTGGGAGCGGGCAGAGGGAGCGACCCCCGTTCTCCCTCCAGCCGTGAGAGTTCCCCGTGACAGCGCAGCCCGGGGGCACCGCTGCGGAGAGGGGGGAAGCGGGGCTGCCTCCCTCCTCCCCCTGCAGCCCCTTCCCCTCCCTCCACCAGACCCTTCCCCTGCCAGCCTCCTTCCCTGCCCACTACAAGCCCCTTTCCCTTCAGCCCTTCCTCCTTTCAGCCCCTGCGGCTTCTCCCCGCTCAGTTCCTTCCCTCCCTCCCCGCTCGCCCATGTTCCCGTACAAGGCCGCCCGGCCGCGCCCGCTCCCCCCCGCCCGCCGCTTCCCGCCAGGATATTGCCGCAGGCACGAGTCCACCTCGCCCTCGTCGGGCCCCGCTTGCCCGTCGCCCCCGTCCTCCTCATCCACGAACTTGTTCTCGTCGTACTCGTCCACATCCACCCGGCGGAACCGCGCCGAGGACACCGTGTGCTTCGCCATCGCCGCGCCCGCCCCGCGCAGCCGCCGCCCCGCCCCGGACCCGCGCCCTCACGGGCTCCGCGCCGGCGCAGCGGGACAGCGGGGCAGGGCACCGGGACACAGCGGGGATAGCGGGGCACGGCCCCGGGATACTGTGAGGACAGAGGGGGGATGGCACCGGGATAGTGCCGGGACACCGGGACAGTGCCGAGATACCGCGGGGACGGGGGGGACGGACCCCCGTGTCGTAGAATCACGCAGTGGTTTGGGTTGGAAGGGACCTTAAAGCCCATCCAGTCCCACCCCCTGCCATGGGCAGGGACACCTTCCACTAGCCCAGGTTGCTCCAAGCCCCGTCCAACCTGGCCTTGGACACTTCCAGGGATGGGGCAGCCACAGCTTCTCTGGGCAACCTGTGCCAGAGTCTCAGCACCCCCACAGGGGATAATTTCTTCCTAATATCTAATCTAAACCTACTCTCTTTCAGTTTGAACTCATTCCCCCTTGTCCTGTCACTCAGGCCCTTGTAAATAGTCCCTCTCCATCCTTCCTGTAAGTTCACTTCAGGCCCTGGAAGGCCACAATCAGGTCACCCCAAAGCTTCTCCTCCAGGCTGAACAATCCCAGTTCTCTCAGCCTTTCCTCCCAGCAGAGCTGCTCCATCCTCTGATCATCTTGGTGCCTCCTCTGGACTCTCTCCAGCAGCTCCATGTCCTTGCTGTGCTGTTCCCCAGGGCTGGAGCAGCTCTGCAGGGGGGTCTCACCTGAGAGGGGCAGAGGGGCAGAATCCCCCCCTGCCCTGCTGCCCACGCTGGGGGATCAGCCCAGGGCATGGGGGGGATTCTGGGTCCCCACACCCATGGCTGGGTTATGTCCAGCCTCTCCCCCACCAGCACCCTCAGGGCCTTCTCCCCAGGGCTGCTCTGCATCTGTTCATCCCCAGCCTGGATTGATCCCGGGAGTTGCCACAACCCAGGTGCAGCACCAGCAATTGTTCCTGTTAAACTGCATGAGATTCCCATGCTCCCACTTCCCAAGCCTGTCTGGGTCTCTCTGTCCACCACCCCTTGCCCCATTCTCTAAGACCTTTAGTGTATTAACAAAGATATTGAATCACAGAGACAAAACACTGCTCTAAAGTGTAGAATTATTTTTTTAAAGTTACACTTGGACTGTGCAGGTAATTATTACCCTATTACTAATTTGGAAATTACACAGCTTTGTGAGGGTCCTCTTAATGGAAGGCAGCAGCCCTAGAAATGAATATATACACACATATATATGCATATATAACCCCCCCTATTATTAAGGGAACAGCTTGTGGGAAAATTTATTCCTGCATCAGCTCTACCTGCAGGACCACCTTGTTGATGGAGGAGGAATTTAGGATGTGTCATGTGTTCCACCAAAGCTGCCTCAGCTGGGAAGCTGCAATCCAGCTGTAAATGAGGTTGTAGCTTGGGGACTGTAGCTGACATTTTTCTGGTAGAAATTGGCTTAAAGGCAATAAATTAATTGCAGGAGGTAATTAAAATGTCGCAGAATCAGAGAGTTTGGGTTGAAAGGACCTTAAAGGTCATCTGGTTCCAACCCCCTGCTGTGGGCAGGGAACACGGAGGTTTGGGGTTTACTACTCTGGATTTATGTTTGAAAGGTAGAGGATTAAAACAAAAGTATGTTCACAATCAGTTATTTGAGACCCACAATTATACTGTAGGTAAGAGGGGACTTTCGTGGTGCTTTTTGCCATCTGTGATCTAAGTTTCACACCCAAAAGTGGAGGGATGTGTGTCATCCTCGGAAGAGGTGCGTGCCACGGGAAAACATGTCAGAATGAGGAGTTCCACTGAGTCATTCCTTTGGCATTTTTAAATGCCTTACAATATTTATGGGTCTGAGGTATAGCTGTTTCCTCTGAGAGGGCAGAAACACACTTGGGAAAAGCACACGGCTTGGAGACATTGGAGGGAGCAGAGTGCCTTTCATGGCTGGGAAAGGCTGTCTGGAGGCCGGGCTGGGAGTGGGAAAGGCCTTTAAATTCCGCTGTACAGCCAGGTTCCCCTCCATTCCCTGGGCAAAGGCTTCCCTAAAATACGGTTTCACTCCTGTTAAGTTAATTTGATGTGGGTTTTGTCGACCTGCTGAGGCTCCTGATGGCAGCACTCGGTGAGGAGGGGTCGCCCCTGTGATGCCACACACGAAGTGGCGAAGCAGGTACTGCTGTGCCCCCTCTGGCAGCCTCTGCAGGGTCACCCGGGGCCAGAGGCTGCGGAGGCTCCGCAGAGCCCCGGCATTCCCCACGGCACGGGGAGAACCGCTCCCGGCGTGACAGAGCTGGGAGAAATAGATGCAGAGCGTGATGTGTGGGTGTCTCAGCAGGAAGTTGTACATTTTCCTTAAGCAGCAGTGCTGAGCCTCGTCGCAGGGAGAGAGGCTCGAGTAGAGGGTGATGCACCTGATGCTTTCACAGGCGGCCGTGGCTGCGTCCAGGTACCCGCCCGCCTCGAACAGCACAGCCTCGGGGTGCTTGGCTCGGGCAGTGCAGGTTGTGGCGTGGCCTTTCTGCAGGACTCTGCCTGAGAAGCTCCTCAGTTCGTAGAAGAGAAGGTGCCTGTTTTGGGGAGTCGCTGTGGGCCCGTGTGGGGAGCCAAAGAGCCCGTGAAATTCTGTGTATGGCACTCTGGCTTCTTCCCCCGTGCGGATGTGGAAGGGACACTTGGCACAGGCATGGCACTGTCTCTGCCACCAGCGGGGCTTTACCACAGTGCCCTGGTTTGTCAGAAACTCTTGGAAAATGGTTTTCTCTCCTGCGTTCATGTTCTGCTGAAAAATCTCCCTGTTTATGTCAGCTACGCAGCTGACAGTCCTGAGTGAAAAAGGAAAGTGATATTTTAATTCAACCCTTCGATTTGTTTGGTACTTAAAACTACAAAAATAATAGGGCACAATCTCTTCAAAAAGCTACTGAGACTTGTAGCAGCATATGGAAACTTGCTTGGTGACACACAGAACAAAAATCTCACAGCCAGGGAGCATTCTTAGTTTTCACAAACCAGTGTTTTTGCTAGAAACATGAGCAAAAAACATTTCTCTGGCTTCAGCCCTCTGACCCTAGACAGGAGAATCTGTGTAATAGAAACAACCACGCTTTTCAGGATTGAATACAGGTGATTCTGTGATTCAATCTGGCAAAAGAAACATGCAAACATGAGAAAAAAAAAATTAAAAAACGGTATAATTACCATCTCAGCAGCTCCAGCTCAGGATAATAGGAAATATTGATCTGATTCCCTTCAGTGGAATTTTAGGTTTTCACTTTAGGGCTCTTGCAAGCTTTCTCTGCAAATTCCATGGTGCATAAGAAGGAGGTTCCTCTTGCCTGGCTCCTCGGTCTGGGCAGTTCGGCTGCAGAAGGATCTTTCCCAGAGCAGGAACTTGACCCCAGTTGTTCCAAGGCAGGCAAGTTCCTTTAGGTGTTTCCAGGTGCCAGGTGCTGGGAGACAGGAACACAAACAGGATTTGCTCTTGCAGGGCCAGGCACCAGTGGGAGTTGAGATGCTGTTCTGTGCCTGTTAATACTTTTCCCACCTCTGGAGTTTTAATAACTCACTTGGTTCTTTGGTGCCATTTGATACGAGGTTTTATAGCTGAAATCTGGGTGTTCTGATAAATGTCCTACTGAGTTTCTTTCCAAATGATTTCTCTGTGTATCTGCCTGCTGTGCCAGCTGGGCAGAAAGCTCCTGTTGTAATTCTGCAACAGGTTGCCCCTCCTTTAGGAAGTTTGTAACCCCCCCACCGGGGGGGTTAGTCACGCTCTGCATGGGCGGGGTGCCAGATGAGGGAAAACACAAGTTTTGTGTGGATGAACAGCTTTTGGCTCAAGCAGAAAATTATTTATTTGTCTTCACTGCTGCTCTCATTGAGCCCCTTGTCACCCCTGGATCTGGTTTAATTCTGTTGCTGCTTCTCTGAGTACATACAACTTTTCCATCTGTATGTTTTATCCCAGCTTGCTTCTGCATTCCACCTCGATTTGCCATCTATCACTGCTTCATTTTCATCTTAAATTCCTGACTTGATTAATTAGCTTTGTTTTCCACTCCTGACTCTACACTCACTTCCATGTATTTTCCTGTGCTGGAGTTCCTTCCTGATCCAGGCCATTGTGCTGTTCTCATTCAGATTACTCCTAAAGATTGGCTTCCTGACATCAGGAATGTTCCATTTGTCATTTCTGATGTTTCTGTACGGTTTTGATGTTCACTTGTGCTCTATTCTGGGCAGTGCAGCGTCACCCTGGCAGTGCTGGGCCTCAGGAAAGGGAAAATGCCTTTGCTCCCTGACACGGAGGAGAGCAGGTCTGGAGAAGAAACTGTTTTTCTTTGGAGTGGGATGTCAGGAGAGGCATCACCACTTGCAGGTTGCAAGTACAAAGGCAGTTGAAAAAGCTGCAAATCTGGGGCGAAGTTCCGATTCCCTCTGCTGGTGTTTCTGCAGAGCTGGGATGGCCACATGATGGCAATGTCGCGCCTCGGCGATGTGTCCCGTTCCCTGCTGGAAGGGGCCGATGGCTTGAGCTCTGTTTCAGTGTTGCTAAAGGTTTTCCACCAGAGGCACCGGAAATTTTCTCTCTCCCCCTAAAACCCGCCTTTTTTGTTTTGTTTTGTTTTGTTTGTTTGGTGGTTTGCGCTGATCAAAACCCATCAAATTTTCAGTCTCCTCAATTAATAGTGCCACATCCTTACAGGCTGGGAGTCAAATCCCAAGCTACCCAGTTGGATGGATTAATTGGAAGAGTGTTCCAAGTGTGTTTCTGTGTGTACAGCATCAGCCTTTGGCCCCTTTGCCAGTGTTGTCCCTCCCCAGGAGCCACCATCCTGATACAGATCATGGCTGATGGATCACTGGGAACTCAAAACGTGGGTTAACAGCTTCACATCCCCTGTACAATTATGTTTAAAATTATAATTATATCCCTGCCTATCCCAACTATACTTGGAGGGGACCTGGACATAATTATAACTTTAGGGAATTTTTTCACTTATTACTAAAATGCAGCCCTCTCTGGGGCAGAGGGCAGGAGGTGTTGATTAGTGCCCCACGACAAGGTACAAACATTCACAGGATGCTTTATCCAGTGAAAACCACAGGGAAAACTTACATGGTCAGTCCATAATGACTCAGGTTGGAAGGGAGCCAGGATCCAAGCCAGGTATGTTCTGCTCCTAGGGAAAAAAAACACCATAATGATCAGGGCTGGGATTTAAAAAAAAAAAAAAATCCAAATATTAGCTAAAACCTGGTATCTCTCCAGACTAAGAAGCACACAGAAATTCTGATCCATCCCAACGTGTCCAGTCTGGACCTGACTTTACTGATTTCAGTGGGGGATATTGGGATTTCTGAAGACGTCTTTTGGAAATGAAGTTGTGTGCATTGATTAGGCAAAAGCTGATGCATGATTATATGGAATGATTCTATTCCCCAAGCTAAACCATGATCTGGTTCCACAGCCTGGTCCAAGTGTCCTCTGTGTGTGTGAGGGGCTCTGGCGCTTCCCTCGATACGCTGCACTGAGGACAAGGACGGGTCCTTTGTTTTGCCTCTGAAATGTGTTGAAATTCTGTTGCATTTCTTAGTACAGCCTGGTGCAAAATAATCTCTGTTGGAAGCATTTTACAGATGACTTCATTCAGTAAGGAGTTTATCTGAGTTCAAAGTCCAGAGCAGTCACATGGTCCCTTAACAGCCAGAGACTTGATGTTCCTGCGCAGCCCCGAGATTTTAAAAATAAGGAATAAAGGACGCGAAGGAAGAAGCAGCATCTGTCCACAGCTCCTCAGAACCACATCCAGACAACTTAAACCCAAGCTGTTGTGGCATAACCTGCCTCCACACTCCACGGTCTCCAGCTCATGGGACAGAGTGTGGGATATCTCGTGCCACAGGAGCTCTGGCTCCCAGCTCTGGAGTGGAGCCCTGGTGCTCTGCATTCTGCCACCAGGCCGTAAAGATTAGCCAGGATTTAGGTCCTGAGCTGGGAACGTTTCCTGATCAAGCTCCTGTTAAAGTCAGACCTTCACAAAACCGTTCCACCAAACTTTCCTTACCTGGCTTGTCCAGTCTCAAAGTGATTGGAATTATCACGTTGCTTCCTGAGATTTTTCCAGAGCTCCATTATCTTCTTTGTTTCCCTTTATGCCTAAAAAAAAGTATTTTTCCCTTTTCTGTCTATTAAAGATAGAATTGAAAACGACAGAGCAGCAAACAGTCTGTAAGGGGAATGACAAATAAGGACATTTAAATGCCACAGGCAGGGTAACCAGGTTAAATTTTAGGACAGCAAAAATCTTAGGGAAAAATTAGAGAAATAACCCAGCATTTTGATTATTTTAAAAAAATTCCCATTCTACTGAGTGTGGTCACACTAGAGATGCTAGGTGGAGAATTTCTTCCATATTAATTATAAAGTGTTGTCAGGATGCTTTGTTTGTCAAACAATTGGACAGATTTCCTCTTGCCCTAAGAAAGAGCCAAGGAACTTGCCAAGAGCCTGTGTTTGTAGATAGAAAACATAAAAGACCAAAATGAAAGTTTAGAGATGGAAAGAGACCTTATGTATATATATTGCATATAACATATATATAGTGTGTTTTACACATATATATCAAATAAATTATATATATATATATATAAATATTCTGCTTCATCTTCTTCCCATTTAAAGTGAAGATGATTCTTGGGACTCAAAGCGACATATTTAATTCTTAGAAAATATCAGCTCAGGAAATAATTTAAGATTCAGGGTCAAATGATTCATGAGCACACAGATTTGCTTCCATGAAGATCAGCGGAGCTGGGATGGTTTCCAGAATCACAGGGCCAGGGAAAATTTTACCAGTTGCTGGCATAAGTGTTATGAGACAGGCAGAAATGTTCCTTTTAATTTTGGTATGAACTGTGAGCCACACACATGTAGAATATTGCACCAATGTTCAATCCAAGTCTGAGCTCGTTTCCACTTGTCTCTTTTTGAGGCCTTCTTTAGGAATGAATGGAGTTGTGCTGGCAGAAAACCCGTTGGAGTTGTGACTCCACTCTGTTCACGGGGTAAACCAGGCAAATCCTAATTAGTAGTGCAGTAATTACACCTATCACCCCCTCCTTCCGAAGTAGCTGCCTGGTGATTCCAATCAAACTGACAAACGCTGGCTGTATGTCAAGGAAAAAGAGGAGGCAGAATTTGGTGTTCTTTGGGAACAGATGCCAGGGATGCTTTAACTGTGGGCTGTGAGCCTGGGCACCCCAAACAACTCATATTTCTCCATTTAGGTGCCCTGTGTTCTTTTACCACGCAGGGATGAGCATTGGCTAAATAACACAATTTAAGATTTGCTGCTCTGAACCCAATTATCAGCCTTGCCTGACTTCCCTGGAGATTTAACTCCTGAGTCTCTTCCAGAACTCAGCTATGATCTCAGATGCTTTGTATTTTGGGATTTAAGCGTAAGGAAGTTAGCAAGTAGTATACGGATTTTCAAATTAAAGCCCAAGGAGCAGTCTGAGCATAGCAGGACTTCTTGGCTGTAATCCTTGGATTAAGCACTGGCTTTCCTTGCACTTGTAAATAGACATTGTGTTTCTCAGGAAAAAAAGTAATGTCCATCAAAATAATCTTGAAGCCTGGGGAGATACAGTGATAGCTGCATTGTTAGGATTGCATGTGGAAAGAGATTTACAGTAAATTTCTTGGTGTTCAGATTAAACTGGACAATATCCTTATGTGTCTGGATGGCAGCTGCTAGGACTGCAGCCACGGAACTGTCCAACCCCATCTGGCAACTCTTCCCTCCCCACAACAAGGATGACATAACTACAGGACTTAAAAATGTAAAATGCTTAAATAAAAGTAGAAATAAAAACTTAGTCATGTTTGCACTGCTGCTTGACACAGAGCTTTTCCACGGCTTTGGTGGCGTTCGGATCAGGTTGTTAATGAGTCCTGTGTTGTCGTCAGAGAGCTGGAAATAACATCTCACCAGATCTTACCAAACCTTATCACAGGCATCGTGCACTTCTTTGCCAGTGATTCCCTTTTGGTTTCAGCCCCTCTTTCTTTTTGTAAGGATTTGTTCCTAGGCCGCCAGGCCTGAATGGAGAATGGGAAGTCACTCCAGCTGTTTTCCTCGTGTTGGCACTCTGTGCTGAACAGGAATTGCTGAGCAAAGAACATAATTTCCCCAGAGATGTTTGCTGGGGTAGCACAAAGACAGTCTGGATTTTTTTTTTTTTAATTAGAAGTTCCTGCCAAATACTATCATCAAGGGTTGGGGGAGGAAGGGAGGCAGGGAGGGAAAGAAATACATGAAGTCTGGAATCCACTTGGAAGAGCAAGAAACCTGCCTGGGAAAGCAAGAGCAGTGTTTTTCTCTACAGAACTCTTACTTTTTAACATATAACAGCTTATACAGAAAAGAGGACTAGGACTTTTTTTTTCCTTTCCCTCTTCCATGAATCTTGGTTCTGACTGTTGCTTCTCCAACAAAGTTGGAGGGATTGTGCAACTTTGCACTTGGTTTTGGACTAGCCAGTGGAACAAAAAATAAGCAGAATTCCTTCTCTTAAGTGAGTGCCAAATTACCAAGTGCCATCATTCCACATTGTGGTGATAAATGCACGGCTAGTCATGGCTTGCAGTGAGCTTAAATTCTCTATTTTTTCCTTAAAAAAAGATATAGGGCTGTGGCTTCCTTGCTTTCGTTTTGCTTTACAAAAGAAAGGTTAAAGAAACAAGCTGTAAAGAATAATTAAGATGTATTTGGGGGAAGAGGAAGATAAAGAGCCATTTGACTTCTTGCTTGCAGGTTTAATTCAGGATAAATCTGTAGTGACAGAAATATACTGGGACCTGATGCTATCTGGTGCTGGAAGGGGAATGCATTGGGTGCTTTATTCCAGTCCTCAGTGCACTGGTGACCACTTTATTTGTACTTTTGTATTATTTTGCATTATTTGACACTTTCTGGTGTTCTTGCTGGCAGCATTACTAAAGTGTTATTGCCTTGCAGTCTGAATAGGCCTCCCTAGTAAGGTGATTTCAGGTAAGAACTGATTTGTGGATGAAAGATGGAATGTTTTAGCTCATTGTTTTGAGGATGCTGCTAAATCCCTGTAATGCAGAAGGCAGCTGTGGCCACACCAAGAGTGACCAACTGCCTGTGTAGTGTGTATATATGTCCTGACAGTTCAGTTGTGGACAAGTATGGAATAACTTTTTACAGGAAATTTTCCTCCATGGATCCTCTCAGTGTTCAGCTTATAACCCCAAGTGAAAGAATTTAATAGTCCTTTGACTTTCTGGGGTGTGCTTTAGTACAACTGCATAATTATTAATTATCTGCTCTAGGTTCTGATTTCCAATCCAGCTCATCTCCCCGAGCACAGTAACATATGGCACAATTAACATGCTGTTTATAACACGCCCTTGAAAAGAGGATCTGCCATCCTGGTTGTTGGTGTGTTTCCAGCTGATCTCCAGAGAACAAAACAGTTGCTTCTGCGCCAACTTTTGTTACAACTTCGTGTAACTTTGTTCAACTTTGGCCAATTTTGAAATTCTTGGTTTTTACTGAGGAAATCTGCAAGTGAAAATGTGGAAATACGTCTTTAGTAATGTCATCCTGATACAGTGGATGGGGTTTGAGTTTGCCGTGTCCGTTGCCAATAGTCTAGGTGACAGATGTGAATTTTTTCTAAAATTTTCCACTCTGTTACCACCAATACAGGAGGATTTCCCCTTCACAGCCTTTGGTTTACGTTTTTTATTTTGCTTTTTGGGTTTTGTGTAATTCCTCGGTGAAGATCATCTGGAGGAGAACTGGGGGAACTGTCAAAACACAGGGTGTTTCCTGGCATTGTCTAGAGCATTGCGGGTTTTCCACCTCCTTCCTGTCTTTTGTTTCTGGGTTGATAATGTTGTCTTTAAATAACCTCAAATAAAAATATTTAAGCCCGTAGCCTCGGCGTCTCAGGTGCAGATTTATGGGCAGCCCAGGGCATTCCACAGGCAGCAAGACCTTTTCTGTCCTGGCACCTTTTCTCTGGGAGGAATCTTCATTTTGGGGGGCAGAATAGAAATTTCAGCACTAGGCTGAAGATTCCTCCCAGACAAAAGATACAAAAGGGGCCAGCACAGAAAGATCTTCTGTCCATAGAGTGCCCTGGGCTGCCCATAAATCTGCACCTGAGAGCCTGAGAATATGAGATTTCTTTCCTGGGGAAAAGGGCTGTCTTTT